AGGAGCAAGTCACATCTTACCAGGATGGCAGCAGGCAAAAAGAGAGCTTGTGCAGAAACTCCTGTTTTTAAAAATCATCAGATCTCATGAGACCCATTCACCATCATAAGAGTAGCATAGGAAAGACCTGCCCCCATGATTCAGTCATCTCCCAGCAGGTCCCTCCCACAACGTGTGGGAATTATGGAAGCTACAAGATAAGATTTGGGTAGGGGCAGAGCCAAACCATATCACCTTCCGAAATGCTTGTACCATGTTAGCTTTTCACCAGCAGTGAATGAGAGGTCCAGTTGTTCCACATGCATGTCAATACTTGGTATGATCAATCTTTTAAATTTTAGGCATTCTGCTCAGTGGTATCTATTGAGGTTTCCGTTTCCGTTTCGTAATGCTGAGCCTATTTTCACATGCGTATTTGCCATCAATATCTTCTTTGTTGTTCACATCTTTCACTCATTTTATTGTGAAGTTGTTGGTTTCCTTCTTATCGAGTTTTGAGAATTCTGCGTATATTGTGAATACAAATGCTTTATCACGTAGGTGCTTTGCAAATATTTCCCCCTAGCCCCTGGCTTGTATTTTGTAACAGTGATTTTGAAGAGCAGAACAAAAATTTTGTCTTTTTTTTTTGAGACAAGATCTTGTCCTGTCACCCAGGCTGGAATACAATGGTGCAGTCATAGCTCACTGCAGCCTCAAACTTCTGGGCTCAAGGGATCCTTCCACCTCAGCCTCCTGAGTAGCTGGGAACACAGGTACACACCACCATGCCTGGTTAATTAAAACAATATTTTAAAGTCTCACTGTATTACTGAAGCTGGTCTGGAACTTCTGGCCTTGAGTGGTCCCCTCAGCCTCCCCAGACTCCGGGATTACCGGTATCAGCCACATCACACCTGGCTTGAAGAGAAGAGGTTCTTAATACTGATGAAGTCCATTTATCTTCTTTCTCCACCCATGGATTGTGTTTTTGGTATTGTATCTAAGAGATTGTTGCTTAACTCAAGACCACAAAGATGTTTTTTCTATTTTTCGTCTAAGTTTTTTGTACTTCCAGGTTTTACATTTAAGTGTCCGATCCATTTTGAGTTAAGGTTTGTGTATGGTGTGACGTCTGGGTCAACATTTACTTGTTGCACATGCATAACCAATTATTTTTACACCATTTATTAAAAGACTATCTTTTTGTCCATAAATTAACTTTGCATGTCTCTTGAAAACCAGCTATCTATATATATGTGGGTCTACCTGTTTTGTCATATTTAACTGTTTGTATAGTTTGAGATTATTACCACACTGTCTTAATTTTTATAGCTTTACAAGTCTCAAAGTCAGATAGGGTCAGTTCCCAATTTTGTTATTTTTCAAAGTTATTTTCACTATTTTAGATATTTTAAATTTTGATGTTAATTTTATAATTAATTTGTCAAATTCCTTCTCTCCTTCCTCCCTTCCTTCCTTCCTTCCTTCCTTCCCTTCATCCCTTCCTTCTTTCTCTCTTTCTCTCTTTCTTTCTTTCTATCTCTGTCACCCAGGCTGGAGTGTAGTGGTGCAATCTCAGCTCACTGCAACCTTCGCCTCCCAGGTTCAAGTTATTCTCCTGCCTCAGCCACCTGAGTAGCCGGTATTACAGGCATGTGCTACCATGCCCAGCTAATTTTTGTGTGTTTAGTAGAGACAGGGTTTCACCATGTTGGCCAGGCTGGTCTCAAACTCCTGGCCTCAAGTGATCCACCCACCTCAACCTCCCAAAGTGCTGGGATTACCGGCGTGAGCCACTGTGCAAGCCATTATGTGAAATTTCTACTAAAGAAGCTTGCTAGAATTTTTCTGGAAGTATGTTGAATTTGGAATAATTTAGTGAGAACTGATCTCTTAAGAATATTGAGTCATTCAATACATGAACATATATAAATATATACACACACTTTTTTTTGAGACGGAGTACATGAACATATGTTGCTCCCCACATATTTAAGTCTTCTTTAATTTTCTTTCAGCAATGTTTTGTAGTTCCCAGTATACAGGTCTTACACACCTCTTGTCAGACTTATCCTTTAGTAGTTAATATTTTGGATGCTATGATTGTAACTGGTATTGATTTTACTTCAATTTCTGACTCTTTATTGTGAGTATCTAGAAATACCACCGCTTTTTATTTATTTAATCTCGTGTCCCGCAACTCTGCTAAACTCACTTTATGGACATACGTCTTTATTTCTTTTGAGTAAATGTCTGGGAGTGGAATGCCTGAGTCATAAAGAGGTGTAATTTTACCCTCTGTATGGTAGTTTGAGTAGCTTTTATGTAGACTCAAAAGAAGTTTCTATGTACATGATCATGTCATCTGTAAACAAACACAGTTTTATTTCTTCCTTCCCAATTTTAGGTGGCTTTTAATACTTCTTGCCTTTATGCAGTTGCTTTACCACTCAGTACGAATGTTGCATAGACACGGCTAGAGTCTTTTTATGATGGTCGTCGTAGAGTTTTTGTAGATGCCCTTTATCTGATTGAGGAAGTTCACCAATGTTCCTGGTTTGCTGTGAATTTTTGTTAGAAATAGAGGTTGGGCTTTGTCAAATGCTTTTCCTGTCATCTACTGGAGACAATCATGTGCTTTCTTGCTTCATTTTGGTTTGGAGTTTAGTCTGTTGATGTGGTGGACTACATTACTTGATTTTCAAATGTAAGACCAATCTTGCATTTCTGGAATAAACTGCGTTGGCTGTTAATGTATTATCATTTTTATGCATTGTTGGGTTAAATTTGCTAAAACCATGTTAACAATGGTTGCATATGTTCATGAGGGAAATTGATCAAGTGTTCTGGCAATGCCTTTATCTGGTTTTGATATTACTGAACGCTGGTCTCATAGATAGAATCTGTTAGGAATTATTCTTTCCGATTCAGTTTTCTGGATGATTTTGTGCATATAATCAGTATTATTTCTTCTTTAAATGTTTGCTGGAACTCACCAGTGAAGCCATCTGAGCCTGGATTTTTTTTGTGTGTGGGAAAGTTTTTAACAACAAGCTCAATTTATTTAAAAGGCATAATGTCATTACGTTATCCATTTCTTCTTGAGTAAGCTTTGGTAGTTTGTCTTCCTAGAAATTTATCCATTTTATTTAATTCTTCAAATTTATTCGCATAGAATTGCTCATAGTATTTATTTGTTATCCTTTAAATACCTAGAGGATCTGTAGTGATGTCACTTCACTCATTGCTGCTACTGACTGTGTTTTGTATGGTGAAGTCAAAATAAAAATGTAGAGTTCAATCTCTAAACTTAATGTTTTATTTGGGAAGAGAAAATTGCAGTTTCGGGCATACATGCAGACCAGGTGACCTTTGGCATGTCTGAAGAACAAAGTCAAGGTTATAGATTTTATTAAAAAGAAGGAGAAATGTCACGTATTGCTCTTTGAGAAAGTTCATTGGCACTAGCAAGGGTTTGGAAAGCTGGGAAGCTCCAACAGGTGAGCCACAGTGATGGGCCAAATTACTCAGAAGCTATGGGTAAAACTGGTTTTAGGTTACAACAAGCAGTTTCAGCAGCCATACTTATAAGAATTACATTCGCGGAGCAATGTTTTATACCCTGCATGAATTTTCTTCAATGGCTTCTTGACTCTGTTTTAGTTGGAAACGACAAGAATAACTCAATTCTTATGATCAACTTTCACATTTACTTTTCTCTCTCATCAGTCTGCCTAGAAGTTTATCAATTTTATTGATCTCAAAAAGCCAGCCTTTGGTTTCACTAATTTTCACTATTATTATTTATATGGTTTTTCTTTCTTACTAATTTTTTTTTTTTTTTTTTGAGATAGGGTCTTACTCTTGCCTAGACTAGAATGCAGTAGGGTGATCTCAGCTCATGGTAACCTCCATCTCCCGGGATCAAGCAATTTCTGACTAATTTTTGTATTTTTAGTGAAGACGGGGTTTCACCACATTAGCCAGATTGGTCTCGAACTCCTGACTTCAAGTGATCCGCCCACATTGTCCTTCTAAAGTGCTAGGATTATAGGCATATTTTTTTTCTTTGATCTCTCTTCTAGTTTCTTTTCTTCAGTTTGTCTTGTCTTTCTAGTTTCTTAGAATGAAACATGAGGTCCTGGATTTGAGAACTTTTTTCTTTTTTATTTAATCATTTAGTATTATAAATTTCTAAATACTGCTTTGTTTTCATTTTCTTTTAGTGGAAAGTATTTTCAAATTTACCTTCAGACTTCCTCTTTCAATCACAGATTATTCAGAGATATGTTATTTGGTTTCCAAATATTTCGGATTTCCTAGCTATCTTTATACTATTAATTTCTAATTTAATTTCATTGTGGTCAGAGAATATACTTTGCAAAGACTAGAATTTTTAAAAAGTATACCGAAGGTCAGGCATGGTGGCTCACTCCTATAATCCCAGCACTTTGGGAGGCCAAGGCAGGCGAATCACCTGAGATCAATAGTTTGAGACTAGCCTGGCCACCATAATGAAGCCCTGGCTCTACTAAAAATACAAAAATTAGCCAGGCATGATGGCAGGTGCCTGTAATCTCAGCTACTCAGGATCCTGAGGTAGAAGAATCTCTTGAACCTGGGAGGTGAAGGTTGCAGCGAGCTGAGATGGTGCCACTGTACTCCAGCCTGGGCAACAGAGCAAGACTCCATCTCAAAAACAAAACAAAACAAAAAGTATACTGAAACTTATTTGTTTTATGGCCTAGATTATGGTCTATCGTGGTAAACGTTCATGTGCCCTTGAATGCATATTCTGCTGTTGTTGAGTGCAGTGTTCTATGAATGTCTACTAAGTCAAGTTGGTTGATAGTGTTTTCAAGTCATCTGTATTCATACTCATTATCTGTCTTCCTGTTTTATAATTATTGAGAGAGGGTTGGCAAGTTCTCAGACCATAATTGTGGACTTGTCTATTTCTCCTCGAAATTTGATTGGGTTTTGCTTAATTTATTATTTAATTCGTTTATTTCTCTTCCCATCAAAGAGGTAATATGCCAATGTCTGAACAAGATTTGGGGAGGCACATCTCACACATACACCTGAAAGACTGCATCATGCTTATGAACTACAAAAGGGTCATTGCGTTAATTTTTGTAATTTAAAAAAATTTTTGAGACAGGGTCTCACTCTGTCACCCAGGCTGGAGTGCAGTCGTGTGATCTCAGCTCACTGCAACCTCTACCTCCCGGGTTCGAGCCATCCTCCTGCCTCAGCCTCCCGAGTAGCTGGGACTACAGCTGTGAGCCACAACACCTGGCCAATTGTTTTGTATTTTTTGCAGAGATGGGGTTTCACCACATTGGCCAGGAAGGCCTTGAACTCCTAGCCTCAAGTGATCTGCCAGCCTTGGCCTCCCAAAGTGCTGGGATTACAGGCATGAGCCACTATACCCAGCCACCTTATTTATTTTTAAGCTTGGTTATTAAGGCACATAAACATTTAGTTTTGTAACATCTTGTGTATTGACCTGCTCTATCCCTGGTAATATTCTTTGCCTGAAATCTACATGGTTTGATGCAATATTAACAAATCAATTTCATTTACTTTTGATTACATTAACATAGCATATCTGCCTTCTTTTTTTGCTTTGATCTTATTTGTATCTATATATTAAAATGGGTTTCTTGTAGGCAATCTATCAGTGGGTCTTGGTTTTTTTTCACTTTTGTTATTATGGTGAAATTTATATAACATAAAATTTATTATTTTAACCCTTTCTAAGTGTACAATTCAGTGACAGTAAATAACATTCATAATGTTGTACCTCTATCACTGCTCTCCATTTCCAGAACTTTTTCGTCATCCCAAATGACTCTCTTTACGTATTGAACAGTATCTTTCCTCTCCCAGCCCCTGGTAACCTCTAGCATACTTTCTGCCTCTATGAATTTGACTATTCCAGATACCTCATATAAGTGGAATCACAATATTTATCCTTTTATATTTGGTTCCTTTCCCTGAATGTAATGTCTTCAAGGTTTATTTATGTTGTCGCATACACCAGAATTTCATTTTTCTGAAAGCTGAGTAATATTCTGTTGCATGTATATACCACATTTTGTTAATCCATTCACCTATCAATGAACATTTGGGTTATTTTCACCTTTTTTTTTTTTGAGAGGGAGTCCCACTCTGTCACTCAGGGTGGAGTGCAGGGGCACAATCTCAGCTCACTGCAACCTCCACCTCCTGGATTCAGGCGATTTTCCTCCCTCAGCCTCCCAAGTAGCTGGGATTACAGGCGCACACCACCACAACCCAGCTCATTTTTGCATTTTTTATAGAGATGGGGTTTCACCATGTGGACCAGGCTGGTCTCCACTTCCTGATCTCAAGTGATCTGCTTGCCTCAGCCTCCCAAAGTGCTGGGATTACAGGCCATTTTCTCCATTTGATTTTGTGCACAATGCTGCTATAAACACTAGTGTACAATATCTGAGTTCCTGCTTTCAATTCTTTGGAAACTGAAATATGTCTGGAAGTGAATTCCTGGATCATATAGTAACACAATGTTTCACTTGTTGAGGCAATTTCATAGTGATTACACTGTTTATGTTCCCACCAGTGATGCACCACATTCCGATTTCTCAGCATCCTTGCCGATACTTTTTATTTTCTATTTTTAAATTCTGTTTTTGTTTTTTAAATTGAACAGAATAGCCATCCTAATAGGTATAAAGCGGTGGGTCCTATTTCTTAACCTAGTCTGACAGTATCTGCTTTTTAATTAAGGCATGTGTTAGTTATCTACCACTGCTCACAAATTACCACAAAACAGTAGCTTAAGAACGAAACATTTTTTAACTCTCAGGTTTTGAGGATCAGAAATCTTGAAACAACTTATCTGGGCAGATCTGACTCAGAGTCTCTCATAATGATCAAGCTGTCAGATGGGGCTGCAGACTCTGAGGATTTGACTGGGGCTGAAGAACCCGCTTCTGAGCTCATCCAAGAGCCTGTTTGCAGGAAGCTATAGTTTCGTACCATGTGGGCCTCTCCATTGGACTGCTCTCAGCATGGCTTTTCCCATAGCTGATACTAATACTGGGAGAAAGAGGAAGAGAGAGAGAAAGAATGCAATGCTGCCCTGCCCTTTATGGCCTATTCACCAATTACACACCGTCACACCTGCCTTATCCTTTGCTTAGTAAGTCACAAAGCTTGGTTCATGCTCTATGGAAGAAGTTTATATGGAGGTGGATACAGAAGATGGGCCTCAATGCTGACCATCTTGGAGGCTGGCAACCACAAAGTATTTAGGCCATTTATATTTAGTATAATTATTGATATGTTTGTGTTCAAATCTGTTATCTTAACTATTTTTTTCTATTTCTACCATCTGTTCTTTGTTTCATTTTCCCCCTTTTATACATTATTTTTAATTAATTGAATATTGCTTATGATTATGTTCTAACAACTTTGTTAGCCTGGTAGCTGTAACTCTTTGTGAAGTTATTTTAGAGGTTGCTTTACAGTCTATAGTATACATCTTTAACTTCTACAGCTATCTTCAAGGGATATTATACTACTTCATGTTATCAGAACCTTACAACAATATACTACTATTTTTTCCCTCTAGGTTTGTGATATTATTCTTGTATATTTTACCTCTATATATGTTAACAACATCAAAATATGACCAGGCACAGTGGCTCACACCTGTAATCCCAGCACTTTGGAAGCTGAGGCGGGTGGATCATGAGGTCAGGAGTTCAAGACCAGCTTGGCAAACATGGTGAAACCCCGTCTCTACTAAAAATACAAAAACATAGCTGGGTGTGGTGGTGTGCACCTGTAACCCCAGCTACTTGGGAGGTGGAGGCAGGAGAATTGCTTGAACCCAGGAAGTGGTGGTTGTAGTGAGTGGATTGCACCATTCCACTCCAGTTTGGGCAACAGAGCAAGACTCTGTCTCAAAAAAAAAAAAATCAAAATACATTATTAATAGCATTGTTTTAATCATTTTTACCTCTTAAAAATGTCAATAACAAAAATAATAATAGCCTTTATGTTTATCCATGTATGTACTATATCTAGTGCTTCTCATTTTTTGGTGTAAATCCAGATTTCCATCTGGTATCATTTTCTTTCTGCTTGAAGTATTTCCTTTAAAGATTCTTATAGTGCAGGTCTGCTGGTGATGAATTATTTCAGCTTTTATATGTCTGAAAAAGTCTTTATTTCATCCTCGTTTTAAAAAAGATAATTTCACTGCATGTGGAATTCTATGTTGACAGGTTTTCCTTTCTTTCAATGCTTTAAAGATGCTGCTTCACTGTCTTTGAGCTTACATTGATTTTCACGAGAAATCTGCTATTATTCATATAGCTTTTTTCCTTTGTACACAATGTGCCCTTCCCTCATCCCTGGCTAATTTTAGGATTTGTCTTTTTATCAGTAGATTTAAACGATTCGATGATACTATGGCTTAGTATAGTTTTCGTTAAATGTTTGTTTTAACCTCTTAAATCTGTGGGTTTAAATTTTTTATCAAATCTGGAAGCTTTTTGGTGTTATTTCTTCCTACATATAAGTGTGTGTGTGTGTGTGTATTTGAGACACAGTTTCAGTCTGTCATGCTATTTCAGCTCATGCAACCTCTTCCTCCTGGGTTCAAGCAACTCTTATGTCTCAGCCTCCCTAGCAGCTGTGATTACAGGCGCATGCTACCATGCCCAGCTAATTTTTGTATTGTTAATAGAGATACGGTTTCACCATGTTGGCCAAGATGGTCTCGAACTCCTGACCTCAAGTGATCTGTGCACCTGGGCTTCCCAAAGTGCTGGGATTACAGGTGTGAGCCACCTCACCTGGCCTCAAATATTTTTCTCTTTTCTTTCCTTTGCTTTGGGAACACTGATGTCCAAGTCACTCACCATCACATTTTCCTTATCCTGTTCTCTGGAAGTTAGTCACTAAGCACAGCTCACACTCGCTGAGGGGTTTACATGATGGCATGTGTAGCAGGAACTGTGGATCATTTGCTGTGAAGTGTGTTTTACAGTAATCCTCACTTACACCTGATTGCTCGAAGTTGTCCTACATTTGGCTAATACTCTGTTTATTTGTGTTTCAGTCTTTTCTGTGTTTCATTTTGAATTCTTTTTATTGATGTGTCTTCAAGATTGCTAATCTTTTTTTTTCCTGTAATGTACAATCTGCCATTATTCCCTTCCAATGTACTTTTGATATCAGATATAAAAAGTTTTTCTCTCTAGAGATTCTGTTTGGATCTTAGTTATATCTTTTGTTTCTCTACTAAACATGTTCAATCTTTTGTCTAACTCCTTAGACATATAAAAATTGGTTATAGCAGTTTTTTTCTTTTCTTCTTCTTCTTTTTTTTTTTTTTTTGAGCTGGAGTCTCACTCTGTCCCCCAGGCTGGTGTGGTCTTGGCTCACTGAACCTCCACTTCCCAGGTTCAAGCTATTCTCCCACCTCAGCCTCCTAAGTAGCTGGGACTATACATGCATACTACCACTCCTGGCTAACTTTTTTGGATTTTTAGTAAAGATGGGATTTAGCCATTTTGGCCAGCCTGGTCTCGAACTCTTGAGCTCAAGCAATCTGTCTGCCTAGGCCTCTCAAAGTGCTGGTATTAAAGGCATGAGCCACCATGCCTGGCCCTATAACAATTATCTTAATGTCTTTGTCTACTATTTCTAACATTTGTGCCATTTCTGGGTGCGTTTCCATAAATGAGTTTTTTCTTCAGTATGGGTTTTATTTACCTTTTTATGGTGATTTTTAAAATTGGATGCCAAACATTGTGAATTTTATTGGTGTTGGGTGCTAGATATGTTTTCTTTCCTAAAAAATTTCTTTCTTTTTTTTTTTTTTTTTTTTTTTTAGAGACAAAGTCTCCCTATGCTGCCCAGTCTGGTCTTGAACCCCTGAGCTCAAGTAATCATCTGCTTTGGCCTCCCAAAGTGCTAGGATTATAGGCATGAGCCACCATGCTGACCCAGGACATTTCCCCAGACATCCTGCTTCATCTCCTCAAACTCAGAGAAATCTTTAGCTTCTGCCTGGGTGTGTCCTCCCTGTGTGTAGGGCTCTGTTTGTTTCACTAATCT